TGTGTGTGTGTGTGTGTGTGTGTGTGTGTGTGTGTGTGTGTGTGTGTGTGTGTGTGTGTGTGTGTGCCACCTGTAGGAAGCAGCTGGACTGGCTCTGGCTTGACAGCTGAGGGTAATTTTCCCTTCACTCAGTCCCTCTGGGTAAATTGAACTGCTCGGCTGTTCTTCAAATACTGGCCCACTGTCATGACCCGACACACACACATCACCACCTGGAAACATTTTCACAATGTACAAAACTAGAATTACTGCAATTGCCACAGATTTATACAAGGTCACTGTGACCTTTACCTTTGACCAATTAAAACAGATCAAAGTTGAAGAAATTCCCTCAAGTTGATGTTAAGATATCATATTCAAGAAGCCAAGAGCATGTTTTGGAGGTCATCAGGACCTTGACCTATGAGCTACAACATCTAATCAGTTAATCGGTGAGTCCAAGTAAACATGTGTGCCAAATTTAAAGACATCCTCTTGAGATATTCCTGAGATATCACATTCACAAGGCAGTGAGCTTTCACAGTGCCAAATTCTAATCAGGTCATCCATGAGTTTAAGTGAATTGTGCCAGATGTAATGAAATTCCTTAGTCCTGCTATATCACATTCACAGGAATTCGAGGTCAATGTGACCTTGACTATTGACCTCCAGGCAGAGAATGGGGGAGAATGGGATCATACTGCAAGTTCTTTTCAAAACTTGGATACAATTCTAATGGAATAATTGTAACAGTGACAGTAACTTCAATTTCTATTTATTTACAGCCGGCCTCTGTACTGTAAAGCACTTTGAATGGTCATCAAGACTAGAAAAGCTCTATATAAATACAAACCATTACATACAATATGACAAAGAATAATGGAGATAAATGAGAGATCTGCTGTTACCAAACTTGACATCTGCAAAGACATTAGAGTTACACATAAGCTTAACTTTTTCTCCAATACTAATTATACGCACATAAGTTGGCTCAGTCAACTTGAGGCTAAATTGCCTTGCAAATCCTAGGTCTGCAAACTTTACAAACATCTAGCAAAGAAGAACAATTTCAACAATTTTTAAAAAGGAAGATAGTATAATAAAGCTACAATAACAGTAAAAGAGTGTGGAAGAAAGACTAAACTAAGAAAATATTATAAAATAATCGAATAGGAAGAAGAAAAATGATAAAATAGTTAAATAAAAGTTGATATCAAAGAGATATAGCAAGAATAAGCAAAATAACTTAATAATGGTGAAAGAGAGTAAACTGTAAAAAAAACAAAATAAATTAATTAAACCATTCTTACTCAAAAGAAAGACTGAAGAGGTAGGTTTTAAGGTCATGTTTAAAACATTTCTGGCTGTTCTCAGATCCTCTGCGGTTTGGAGCATAAAAGCTAAAAGATGACTGCACAAAATGTTTAGTCTGGTACTTTGGAACTAAAACACTAGTGCTAGAGGACCTGAGCGGCTGAACTAGTTCATAGATCAGCATGTGAGTCATATATGCCGGCGCAAGACCATGAAGTTCTTTGTAAACAAGTAAAAGAAACTTAAAATCAATATGGAAACTGACAGGCAGCTAATGTAGGGATTATAGGAGAGGTGTAATATGTGCTCTCCTTTTGGTCCTATTCAGCACTCGGGCAGCAGATTTCTGAATGAAGTGTAGTTGATTTAGAATTTTGGGTAGACAAGATAGGAGAGCATTACAGTCGTGCAGCCTGCCCAATATGAAAGTGTTTATTACAAAAGTTAATATGAAGGGACTAATGTTGGACAATCCACCAACAGTTGCTACATAATGTTACAGTCAACACTAATGTTTAAATGTCTGTGACTTGTGACTGGCCCTTTAACTTTGTAAATTAAACATTATGCCTAAATAATAATCAACAAGTTTGGTAGGTTAATTAACTACTTTAATGAGGAGATTGTAAACATTTGTGTCCAACAATATTTTTCCCCTACTCCATGATAATAATTATCACCATTTTGTTTGCTGGAAAGTGACTTTTGTAGGAGAGTAAAATTTGTATTTAGCCTCTCATGTATTTTGAATACAAACTTAAGCATATTGCCTGTATTTTCAGATGCAATGCATTAACTACTGTTTAAAGACTATTTTAATTATTAGTATGTATTTACGATTTACAAAGTTATTTGGTATAATTGTAAATTGAGGCTGGAGTAATGCGTTGAAGTAATCGGCATCATCAATTTCATCGTAAGGTAGGTGGCTGTGCCTAGTCGAAGCATGGATTCGCCCTAAGAGCAAGCTAAAGTGGAAAAAAATCACCCCGGATCATTGAAAGCACATGTCACCAATAGACGGACTGTGGTCCGGACCGCACCCAGACGGCGTTGTATACAGACCCAGACCTATTATTATATTTTGACGGAGCGTTCCTATTTTAACCTTGCAACTTTTCTCGTAATTACTGTCTTATTTTATCCTGCGCAGCTTCTTTGGTCTTTACGGGGGTAAATTCTGGCAGCACAAGGTAGAGTTTACTTCTCTCACTGAACAAGAGAAAATAGGGGAACAAAGAGAAAAGGAGGTTTTAAAGCTAGTTTAGTTTACTGCTACTTTAGTTGTTAATATTTGTTGAGATTATTCATGTGAAATGTAGTTGACAAAAAAGAAGGAAAGGGGAAACTCAAACTCTGTTTTTTCTTTTCTAAAATTAAGCAATTTAAAAATACCCAGACTGGGTGCAGTAAGCTTGGTTCTAACCCTCGTTCTCACAACCAGCACTGATTCTGAAATCAATTATATATTAATGTGTATTCAAGTAAATTACCAGCAGCTTCTTTCAGAGCCACTGAGCTGAGGACCAGCAGACACATCAACCGCTCCATAATCCTGGACCCAGCTGGATTGCAACAGGATCACAATAAGATCAGATGCAGATGGCTTCAGATGGGTTCCCCTTATCTCACAGGAAGTACAGGCCTTTTCAGACAAGAGAACAAGAAAGCATTTATTAGAAACTTATTAGAGTCTTATTCATTAAGTTTAATCAGAGTAATTAAAGTTGACAGGTACAGTGTGTAGACATCTGGTGGTGAAATTGCATGTTGCAGATGAATACTCCTCACCTCACCCTCCCCTTCCAAAAGTAGCCTTCAGTTGTCATAAAAACTCAAAAGGTGAAAACATCACCAGGATTATTTTATATTCAATTTCTGCCAAAAATTCCTTCCACCTAAATCTTACACACTGGACCTTTAAGAATCGAGATTGCCAGGTTATTAAAACAACTGATTGCTAACCCTAACAGAGACTGTAATTATGAACTTACATGGACACTTTGCTGAGGTGAAGAGCTCTGGGAATTTGACCATGCACACACTTTATCTTTGCTCTGTGACTAATTTCAATATAACAGTATTCAATGATAATAGGTTCTTCATGAATGTGTTGAATGGAAGATAAATATAGATATCGCTCGACGTTGTTGTTGACGTATATCATTTATATCGCAATACGATACTTATTTATCATGTACAAATATATACTGGTATTGTCATGGATGGTATGATATGGCACATGCCTTCGCAGCAACCACCGGCCCGGCTTCCAGAGAGACTCTGCAACTAACCCTAACTCCAGGGACAAAACGGAGGTGGAAGCACCATGAAATGCTGTCCACTTCCTTTCTGCACCCATGTTAATCAGTTGGGCTGTTCACACTGGCAGGGAAGCGCCGCAGCCAGCTCTCGATCCGCAGTGATGGTTTCGGCGTCTGTTCTATTTTTCTGCTTGCCACAAGTGAATCAGGCCAGAAAACACACTGAAAATCGTGTATTGGAACATCTATTTTATCTGAGTTGATAAGAGAAAACTGAATGTCTTCTAGGTTTTTATATCCTTGAAACATGCTTGAAGTTTACTTAATTGATTACTGTTCTGGCTTTATTGATAGGTAGAACTGGGTGTCATCCGTATAGCAGTGGAAATTGAAAGAGTGTGTCTTGATAATGTTTCCTAGTGGAAGCATATAAAATGAAAATAAATTCGGCTTCATTTTAGACAGGAAGGGGAGGTTGAGTATTGGTCTGTAGTTGGCTAAAACCTCTAGGGTGGATTTTTTAAGAAGGGGTTTGGAGACTGCTAGCTTAAAGGACTGTGGTACATATCCTGATAATAGTGATAGATGGATTGTATTGAGTAAAGTACTATCAATTTGGGGCAGAATTTCTTTAAGTACCTTTGTAGTTATGGGATCTAAGATACAAGTTACAGGTTTGGTCATCCCTCATTATATACAATCTAATGGTCAGCATTTGCATCGTCTCCTAGCAGCACATAGCTGAAAGCCTCAGGGCAAGAGGAGACATAGGAAAGTTTTGTTATTGATTGAGAGTTCCAGTCTCTCACTTCTGTGTTCTCTGATTGGTGCTCGGGCAACATTAAAAAGGAATTTGTCCAGCTGGCTGCCTGGCTAATGATTGAGATTTCTTTAGGTGCATTTTTCTACTAAAACAGCTGTACAATGTTACACTGAACCTTTGCATCATGATTATAAGCTAGCTATATGTTATTAGTAAGTTATTTTAAGATATCAAGATGGTTCAGTTATGATTTCTTTTATTCCTTAAATTCCTCACCATTACATTCATACAGTCATACATCAATGCTTCAATTGATCCACTGGTTGAATGGATCTGAATGTGACTGACGTGACTAGAACAGTAAAGCTCTCACTCAAACCTCTCTTGCTCAGAAGACTCTTGTCAATGTGCCTAGTCTGCTCAACAGCTCTTTGTGCTGTAATAAGAGGTGAGACTAGGAAGGTCAGTCTCTGAATCTCAGTAAAGCCTTGGCACTATGTCCTTCATGACTGCTAAACCTCTGAGCTGCTCCTAAGATTCAGATGGCTGTGGAGATAAGGAGCTGGCAGGAAGGAGAATTCATTGTTCCTATCTGCTCAGACAGATTACTATGATGGCTGAATCTAAGACCACATCTGCAAAGTCAAATTCCACAGTGGTTTTTTTCTTCTTTCTTTCATTCTTTGCTGCATATGTAGAGATGTTGAAGACTGATGTGACTGGCCACTTGTGTCTGTCTCAGACTGTCCCATCAGCCAGTGTAATTGGCTAATGTTAGCAAGATTACATGTTAAAGCCTCAATGGTGCACTATCAGATCAGATATCCAAGTAATGGAGTGTCAATTGAATTCACAGTAGCAGTAGCAGCTCCAGTGTGTAAATTTCCCTACCAAGTACAAACTTGTGACAACACTGCTGTTTAATTACCCAGACTGCGACAGTCCATTAATAGCATAAAAGATCTTCAAGACATTTTATGCTGTTGCTTCATTGTAAAGTGTACACCTATTGCTCTCTCTCTCTCTTTCGTTCTCTATCCGTTCAGATACAAAAATTGAAATAAGATTGGGGTTTTGGTTAAGCCCAAAATGCTGCAGCACATGTCCTGAAAAGAACTAGGAAAGAAGACCACATTTCTCCTGTTTTAGCTTCACTACAGTGGCTTCCAGTTAAATCGAGAATATAATTTATTAACCTACAAGGCCCTTAATAATATGGCACCATAATACCTTAAGGAGCCAGAGCTTTCAGCTATCAAGTTCCTCTCCTGTGAAATCATCTCCCATTTTCAGTTCGGGAAACAGAACCCTCTCTACGTTTACGTTTCCTTTTTGATAAAGCTTATAGTTAGAGCTGATTCAGGTTTGGACCTGCTCTTAGTTATGCTGCTGTTGGCTGCTGTGTCCCTCAACATTCTAAACACTATTCTGTCCATCGTGGGGGAGGGATCCTCAATAGATGCACTGTATGAATGTGTGTGTGAATGGGTGAATGGCAAAACTGTACTGTAAAGCACTTTGAGTGGTCATGAAGACTAGAAAAGCGCTGTATAAATACAAACCATAACCATTTACGTTTGCCCCTGTTAATGGGGATTTTGGTTAGTTTTGGTAGTTTGTTCTTACTCTTGTTGAAGGGCAGAAAATGTCCCACCTTGTTAAGCCCTATGAGACAAATTTTGATTTGTTAATATGGGCTAGACAAATAAAATTTGATTGATTGATTGATTGACATGACTGCTTGCTCCCCAAAATTGGCACGACACAAAGAATATCATGTGTCATGTTTTTTTCCCCTATTGCTCATGCGGAGGATTTTGTCACAAATTTCCTGAGTAATTCTCCCTCCAGGCCACAACAGCAGGTGGCGCTGTGAGCCAATTTACAGGCACCAGGAAGTCAAGAGGGAAGAGATTGAAACCAAATCAACACCACTGCCACTATCAGTAACGATCAGACATTGTTGACAAGAGGATGACGGCGTTGTAACCATGGAAGCTAAAAACACTAAATGGTCCGCTCTGTGTTCAAACCAGCTGTTGTTAATTATTGTTGTGATAAGTCTATATGTATATCAGGGCTGGGGCGATGTGTCATCGCAATCAACGTCATCGTTTATGCGTCATTAGGAAGGTGGCTGCAGACAGTCAAAGCATGGACTCACCCGAAGAGCAAGCTTGAAAAAAATCGTCCAGGATCATCTACCATAGGTCACCAACAGGCGGTAGTAAATCCTGGCAGCACACAGTAGAGTTCACTTCATTCACTGAAGAGAAACTGGGGAACAAAGAGAAAAGTTGAAGCTTTTTAGTTTGCTAATATATGTTTAGTTG